TGGTAATTGCATTTGCAAAGATGACTTTTCCAATTATGACTTAGGATATACTCCTTTAATTTGCTTCCAAACTCATCATTTATATATATGGCTTTGTAGCTTCTACTTTTTTCTGTCAACTCATCCCTATATTTTATTTCACATTATATTAATTCAAGGAAGATTTTTTTTAACTTCATTTTATATTTGCCAGATTTATAGTCATTATTATAGTTAAAGGAAATACTATGGTCCCGTTACGGTACCATCCTGTTGGGGTGTTTTAATCGTTAGATCATATATCTTATACATACTATATGTTATTCAACGGTTAAAACACCCTACGGGTTTGGCATAGTAGCATTTTACTTAAGTATAATACTTAGGGTGATTCTAAAGTTTGAATGGTTACTCCTTGCAAGCAAAAAGTGCAAATGTTGATTCTAAAATAAGGCACATTAGTTCATTGTCTAAGAAGCATATTAATATCAGCTATTAATTATTTGGGTCACCATGAGAAGTTAAATTTTGCTTGGCATGTTTTCATGACTATTATACAAATACAATACTAATTCCCTTAGGTCGGTCACCTTAATTGCATGAGATCAACTTTATGTGGTTTTCTATGAATTAGTATTATGAACTTTGAATCTCTCTAGAGATAGATCTAATTAATTTTTAAAACCCAATTAATCTTTGAAAACAAGTCTGGAGTCTCCCTTTAGGGTTGGGCATGAGTCCCAATAAATAAGGGTTTGAAAATTGATCAAAAAATTGAATTTCAAAAGGCTAGATCTCGACCCCCGTTGGTCGTGGAGAACAAAACTATCCACAAGTTGCTTTGTGACTATGAACCTGGAGCCTCAGATAGATCTGCGCGTACGCGGTGAACAAACTTTCGTGGTCGTGAGGTGCCCTGCGGCTGTGAGTTTGAGGCGCAATTAGGTATGCGGGCCACAACGCTCTTTGTGGGTAGTGGAGCTTCCGCAGGCCGCAGTGAACACAATTCGCCAGTAGCGGTCAGCTGCGTACCCGTGCGTCGAGTGCCCGTATGAGCTCATCCGGAGGAATCAATTTTTTTTTTATTTTTTTTTTATTTTTTTTACTCGTCCCTAGCAAACCATCCTAGAGAAATACTTGCACAACATTTACAACTACTTTCTCCTCAGATTGGTTGAATTCCTGACATCCGGACAAAACTCCGAACCTGCACACAACGACATGAAATCACAAGAATACAGGAAAAACAAATGAAAACACCGAAAAAACTAAAATAAATAAAACACAAAACAAACGACTAGATAGATCGAAAGTCCTAAGAAAAGACCTAAAACGAAAAAAGAAGGAATAGCAAAATAATGATAAAAATATCAACAAAAATAGGACAAACAATTGTATTACAACTTTTATTAATGTACGGTAAATCCAAGGTTCTCATAAACGGACCATCATCAAACCAATCAAGTTATTTATTCAATGATTTATTAGTTGGACCAGAATTAATTTATTAATAACTTAACTTTTTAAATATATATATTGTAATAAATTAATACTTCCTCCTTTTTTAAATAAATGTCGTTTTGACTTTTTTGATTCATTCATTTTGCTATGTATCTAAACATATTAATGTCTAGATACATAGTAAAATGGATGAATCAAAAAAGTCAAAACGACATTTATTTAAAAAAGTAGGTAGTATAAAATACTAATTAAATATATGAGCAGTTTAATATTGTTTTATACAAAAAAAAAAAACGAATAAAAAAGCTTGTAATACATGTAATGTAGTATAGAATTGTAGATAGAAGATTTTCACAACTTACAATAATTTTTTTTGACTTTTTTTTTTCTTCATATTATTGAAATTAAATCTTACAGGGGGTGTATTTAATTGGGATTTATAAAGACTTTTAAAAACTTTTTAGGACTTTAGAAATCCTGGTGTATTTAATTTAGATTTCTCAAGACTTTTAAAAGTCTTGAGATATTCAATTAGGATTTTAAAAAGTCTTAAGAAATTCAGGTGTATTTAACTAATTTAAGGTTAGGATTTATAAGGACTTTTTAAGATTTGCTGGGATTTTTAAAGAAAAAAACATGTAGAAAATCCCACTACAAATCCCACCTTTAGACTTGGTATTTTATAGGATTCTTTTAAAATCTGAAAATCCTCAAAAATCTTAAATCTTAAAAAGTCTTTAAATGTCACTCGAATTCCGAAACGAATACACTAATATTTTTTTTATTATAAAGTAAATTACATATTCCTTATTTTGACTTTACACAATCAAATAAACCCATAGGCCATGGCTTTTTGTGTACATCCATTAGAAGAGATGCTGAGTCAGTACTTGGACTCTCCAACCTCCCCATTTTACTCTCACTGCAAATTCTGACTTCACTGAAATTTTTTCATTTTTCCTTTCATCTGGTAATCTTCTCTTCAAGGTATCTTCAATTCATAATCTTTTCCTGATCATTATCTGATTTGATGTTTTTTTTT